GTATTCATCACTTCAATTATTATCCTTTCAAGAATGAAGACTGAAGAGGCACGGCAGCAGTGGTAATAGCAGCCAAAAGGCAAAAATGCTTTGCTCTAATGCTGGGTAAGAGACAGTGCTGGGTTGGTCCTGGAGTTGGTCTTCTACTCCTTGCAGGAGGCAACACAACCCTCACCCACGTTCAGGATGGACATACCATAGCCCTCCAACACTTACATTAAGAAGTGGAAAGTGCAGTGGTTAATTATAGTCCAACATGGAGCAAACTGAAAAAGGTTCTCTGTTCTTCAGTGTGGTTTTATTTCCTTGGGATTAACCGTACTGTATTTCTGTTCGTGCCATACCTGAGCAATGAATGTGGATCAAGTTGGTGCCTAGGGAAGTGCTGTTTCTCCATGAGAGACTTGAAGGCTCAGGAGGATCAGCTCATGGCCCTGATCTTTAAGACATCGTGTTTTCTGAAGCTACACTTTCTTGGTAGGTTAATAGCTTCAGATATATTAATTGCTTTTTAAACTACCGATATATTATCAGAGGGAAGAATATGCTTTGGGCTGGACTGGGGTGTGCAGGAAGGTCATCAGAATTGTTAGAAAATGCAATTCTTACATCCTAATGTCTGAAACTTCATTATGCCTGAAACCCCCTCACTGATTGCAGCAGGATGACTTGCCTGGCTGGCATGAAGGTGGCTTTATCTTAAGCTGCGTTTTTTTGTACACTTTAATGGAGTTCAGAATAGAAAAGTCTGAAAGAAGACAAGGAATTAAACAGTTGTCTCATTAAGCCTTCAGCATTTGCAAATAGTGCTTTGGTACAGTCTGACTTCCCAATGGTAACTGCTCGGTATCATTTTTTAGTCATTAAATTACTAAACCTTTCACACAGCTTTTCTTTAGTGTTTCTCCTTTTATCAACAGCTGTCACAGAAACTGGATGTAATGCTTTCTCATCACACAGTAGCCCTCCAACACCTAAATTAAGAAGTGGAAAGTTCAGTGGTTAATTATGAACCTGGAGAAACTGTAGAACTTCCACCTAACACACATGCAGTGGTCTTTGTGGCACGTGATGTACGTAAACCAAATCAGTCCTTAAATTCAGAGGTAGCTGAACCTTTCCAGCTCAGCTCAACAATCATTTTTGTTGGAGATAATCTATCATTTGAAAACCTTGTAAGTGGAAATTAGCACACAATAGCCTGCCCACAGTCCAAAGCAGCGCTGTGGCTTTTAGAAGTATACTGAATAGGCTCCTCTGAGAAAATGAACAGGCTTTTAACCATTGCAGTGGTGAGAATCAATGGGTTTATCTTTGTGGCAGTGTCCACCTACCGTTTTCTTTATTCAGACAATGAAACAAAACCTTGCTGGGACCAAAGTGCAGATAAAAGAAACAGTTCACGCTCCAGCAACTTTTCATTAATAAGTGCAGCTGGAATTGGTCTGTGAGGATGTGAGAGAATGATAGTTACTGCTATGCTGATGTTCCACTGCTAAGGCTGGAGCACCCCAGCGAGGTATGCAGTTCTTGGGGACAGTGCCAAGGCACCTCTTCCCACTGGGCACATGGTTAGTGTCATCACTGTTTGCATGGCTTTAGGTATGCTCAGCATGTGGGAATCATGCTGCAGCACAGCTGTTGGGGAGGCCAACATGAGGGACCTGCATGGGCTGAGGCAGTGAGATGCAGGAGCCAGCAAAGCATTTACTCTGGATATACAGCCAGCTTCATAGCTGTCTCAGTGTCAGGCCTGAAAGCAGTAAGCACAGAAAACGTTGCTGCCTAGTGTTTGCATTCATAGTTGAGATATACCTCTAGCATGGCCATTAAGTAGACTGTGTGCAAGATAAGATAATGAAATGCAGTTTCTTGGTGCATTTTACTTGGCTGCTGCCCATGTCTGTGTTCATCCCCTGATTCTAGAGAAGAGCCCATGGCCACCGACAGCAGCACTGCTGCAGCCACAGCTCTCTACAGAACTTCCATTCTGCAGGCAGAGGTGATGGAAGGGCTTTGGAGCATCACCTGCTGCCTTTGAGGAGGCGTTTTAAGAGTTTTTGTTCTGAGCTGTACAGCAAGCAGCAAAGTAATATACATAATAAGTAAAGAAATATTATGTACTTGAATTTTTAATTAAGTTTTATTTACGATGTTGTCGTCCGTTTTGAAACACTGAGAATAGCTCTACTTTCAATGCAGGAAGGATTTCCTTTATCTACATATTTTACAATAAAAAAGGAAAAGGAATATGGCTATTTTTACATTGTAAGTGCGTTTATGTCAAATATAAGCTAGATTTTATTTTTTAATGAAACTTAATTTAGCCTAGTTAAGAAACCAATAACCGTATTTCCTAATTCAGTTTATTAAAGTAATAAACACAGCTATTCCAGGAAATGAAAACATTTCTGAATATAAAATAGAGTTCTCTGCAGAAGATATTCAAATGTGGATCTCTGACGTTTAGCAGTAAAACTGTACATTTGGGTATAAAACAGGTTTCTATATAAGCATGTGTTCTGGGCATCATCCGGACTGATGATGTGTGTGCATAATGCAGATTCTCAGCACTTCTGAGAACTTGGTTTGGTTTTGTTTTGTTTTGTTTTGTTTTTGTTTCTATGCTTAAGTTGAATTCAGATGTCTAATTTTAGGCAGCAAGATGATCACATGCTTGTACCTTGTTTTTGAATGTGAAGATAGCTTCAGCTGCATTAAGGAGCCTGAAATGACAGGACCGGAATTGATATTTAATAATACACCAAACTATAAGAATACTGAAGTACAACACAGTTATTAAGAAGTGCCATTAGTCAAAGGCAGCAATGTTTGTTATTTATTGTTGAATGCCTGAAACTTCAATTTAAAAAAAAAAAAAGTGAAAAATACAAAAACAGATCCATTGCCATCAGACTGATGTGGGAGTAACCGAGTTGGTTCTTGGCAGGCTCACATGATTTTATGTTGAATGTTTTGTTTCTTTTGTCTCTGGAGAAGTGCAGCCAGGTTTTGTCTGGGCTGGGGTCCCAGGGCTCCACTGCAGGAGGGCTCCATGCCAGCCTAGGAGATGGGTGCACTGCCTGACACAAGGGGAGATTACCCATTTAGCCCACAAGGATCTTAGGAGAAGGATTGTCATTGAGCACAACCTTTTTGCACCTATGTAAATGCTTGTTTAGGAACATAGGAGGCTATAACAACCTTTATTGTACATCAACGCACAAATAAAGAGATGAATCTTAAAGTTATGGAGACTTCAGGAAGTATTTATGGATAAATGAAGGATTTTGAGCATCGATCCCAAATCAGCCAGATCTTTCTATTTCCACCTCTCTTCCTAAGTATGTCAGTCTCCTTAGTCTATGAAGTTGCCCCTTCTTTGTTAGGCTCTTGTAAAATTATTCGGAAAAGTTAAAAAGTAATAGCAGTGACAATGGTTTATTATATGTGCTCAACAGAGACCCTGAGAGGTCACACACCTCCTGTGCTGCAGGACAGAAGCTCTGTGGGCACCTCAAAACCCATCACATCTACTGGGTACTAAGGAAATCCTGATCTCCCTGTTATTTTTATGCATTGGATATCTCTATCGCATCCTCTTGATATTCTCTGAGAATATTGGTTGATTTCCCTTAAGTAAGAGAAGAGGAAAAGGTGGTGAGCAGCTCTCTGTATGAGGCAGCCAGTGCTGGGTGGTAGCTGGATGGAAACCTTTTCATCTACACTGAGAAAAAAATATTTAGCAGAGCTAAGGAGTCTACCAGGAGATACCGGTTATTTCCAGAGCCCAGTCAAAAACCAGTATGAATCTGCAGGCAATATTTAGAGTTTCAGCAACTTTCAGTCGTCCTCCAGGCAGAGCAGATCTGTTGAGCATGCTTAACAGGAGCACTCAGAGCAAAATGGGAGCAGAGGCAGCCATGAGAAGCAGCCACTTGGTTCTGAGATGGCTCCCATAAAAAATTATCACTTAGCAGCAGCTGCTGAATGACACAGCACCACTGCCAAAGCACCCCTCTGCAGCACCTGCTCTCTGCAAACTGCTGCTTTTGGCAGCGAGCTGGGAAGTGTGCTGCTCATCCCTACAGCTCCTGGTATCAGTTCCTCAGCGTGGGGAAGGTGTGTGCTGCTCACAGGGACATTGCTTTGCCTTTGATTGTGCTGACCACAGAATATCACCCGGATCCCTTTGCAGTAATGTGCATGCAAGCTGTCTGTCTGCTGAGCTATGGCTTTTAACCCGGAAACTTTCCTAAACCATACAGTGAGGTCACTCCTTGTTTGTACTTCAGAGCAATGTTTGCTGCAGTTTATGTTTTAAGAAAAAAATATCAACAAGCTGTAGTACATTTGAATAACAGTGTTTATTTCCTGCTGGAATTTCACGCTGCTCGCGGATTTATGAATTGGATTTCCAAGGGATAGTACTGAGCTCAAAGCAATTTTCAAAGGGGCAGGCAGAAAGTCATTAGCAGTGCTTTGAAAATAAATTCTTCCTATTCTGCATCAGTGAGATTTGCGATCCCCGTTACATATATTTTATTATGATTACTCACCAGTTATCTTTTTGGTACTATTAAAGTAATCTGGAAAAAAATGCATTACATATTATGTGTACCACTTGTATTATACCAACCTGCTAAGTAGGAACACAGGAACACTGAAAGAGAAATAGAAGTGGGAACAGATCTCCTGGGTTTGCATATCCTGTCTCCTGCTAGCACATCGCCTAATTCCCTTCATAAACAGAAGTAATCTAAACCTCTGTGTCCTGTTAAATTCGAAAGAAAAGTGTTATTCTAGTATATCTGGAGATGATTAAAGTAAGCCAATAATAAATGTAATTATAGTGAATTATAATAGATGACATGGAGATTTTATCCCTACTTATCTTGAGGTTTTGGGGAAGAGTTTTGTTCTGTTTAGCTATTGTTTGCTTCCTTGAGTATGTTTTGCTGAGGAAAAAGAAATAACTTTAATCTTTTTCTCTTCCTTAGCCTCACGCAGGAGGAAGGCCGTGGCAGCAGAGTGTCAGTGCATGGTGTAGGTGCCCAGCAGTGTGTGCCACTGGCTTCAGGCCCATTGCATGAAGTCAGCCAATTCTCTACCATCCTCACTGGGAACTTGTAAAGCGACTGCAATGTTTTCCATGTAAGTTTCACTTATTTATACCATACAAAAGTTAAAAGACTATTTTATTTGAATATGAACACCAATTCAGCAGATCTATTTCTACTTCTGTTGTTACCGCATTCCTATCATATCTGAACAATGACTGAAGTATGGAGTAACCAGTGTTACTCTGCTCTTGTAAATGGAATGCACCTGTCCTAGTGGCTTTGTGCAGCCCAGGAGTGCCCTTCCTTAAGCACACCTTCTGTGCATCTCCCCTCACTGCACTTGAAGTGCCTACACTGGGCGTCCGCTGGAAGATGAGCACATCTGTGCCTTCCAGCTGCACACGGAGTGCACAGGTGATGAAAACAGAGTGGTGTAGCAATTGGACAGATCAGTGTGCTGGGAAACGTGTTACAACAGAGGTGTGATGATGGAAGGACTAGCACAATAGAGAGGTGCTATAAAGGAAGGGAAGAAGATTGCTAATCTGTATCAGAAGTTTCCAGGTTCACAGGGGAAAGCTTCACCAAGGAGGGATCTCCTGAAAGAGATCTTTGCCCAGTGGCAGTCAGCCCTTAAATGAGGTCTAAGAGGGGTGGAGTCTGGCTTCACCTGCGCTCTCAGAGCTGACCGTGTCTTTTCCCCAGGTGCTCAGTCAGTGGTTCAGGCCGTGACTCAACATTCCCATACATGTGGTCAGCAGGTCCTCAGGACAAGTTTGCCCTGAGATCCCTTCCTGAGCTGTGCTTGCTGCCATAGGTAGCGACCCACGTGTCAGATACAGACAGAGATACTGTGTCCACTTGTTCCAACAGCATCATCTTCAATTCTCATCTTACCATATAAATGAGTTCCTGTTTTCTCACGGAGCCTGAAAAATAGACTTCTCACTACCGCGCAGAGCAAATAAGATTTGCTGTTATGTATCTGAAGTATGGGATTTATTTTAGGATACAACAAGGATTTCATCTAAAAATATTTTCCCCAAAGTAGAGAGACGCATCAGAAAAAGAAAGTTAATTCCTCATCGCCTCGCCTGCAGCATTTGTTTTCTTCCAGCAGAACCCAGTGGAATTTAACAGCACAGTGGCTGAAGAGCTCTTTCAAATATGGAGAGAGCAAAATAGCTCCTGTAGTGTTTTTTCCTGGCTTGTTTTAGCTGTTACTTTCTGGTTGAGACTGCCTGAAGTGAGACTAATCAGCTATTCCTCCAGAGAGAAAGCAGGGCGACTGGAAATAAAAATAATAAATCATGGCATTTTACTATAAAGAAACAGTATACGTCAAGGGAGTGACTTTTACAACGTTATTTTGCTATTTTCAACAAAAACAAACTAGTGGAAGGAGAAGTTAATTCAAGTAGGATGTTCGTAGCAAATTTTCACACGAACACTGCCATGTCTACGCGCACATTTTCCGCTTCAAATTGAAATTAAAAGTTCAGTTTGAGGAAGGGCTTTATCTTTCTTTTGTCCTGTTTTCTGTACCTTAATTAAGGGAGATTATTTTTTCTTATAAAGAAGAGCACTGCAACGGATGCAGCTTATTAGTATCAAATAGGCATCTTTTGCTATGGAGAATTGGAGAAACCAGTCACGTTAGTTCCCATTTTAGTTCGCTGTACCAAAGCCTACATTTCATTTTAGATTGAGGTTTTTTTTCATTTGGATTTCTCTAAACACAGCTCAGATGATTGAATACTCAATAATATGAATAATTTGGCTCCCCTTTCTACTCAGCTGCAGAAGTTTTAGATATGTGGTTTTCTTATGACTTATCCATTTGACCTAAGCAAGAAAGCTGCTGTCTCAAACGCTGTTATTTCTCAGCCACTTGGTTCTACGTCTTGGCATTTACTATGTCTATGGATTCTGTATCACAGTGGAAACCAATATCCAGCTTGGAAGAGGAGGAGTACAGAGCTTTCTAGAAGCAACTGATGGTGTGAGGAACATGCAGTGCTGCCTGTGGGGTTACACAAGCAGCATGAGGTCATAAAACTGAAAGACTGGAGTACAGATATCTGAAAGATAACATGAATGCTAAATTCATTCATACAAGGTATACCTTCATCTCATGGCTTTTTGCAAACCTGATAAATTCTTCACAATCAGTCCCAAAATAGAAATAGCAATAGGAATCAGTGAAGTTGTCAGCAAGGGTTCTTGTAGGAATACCAACATGTTTCTCTTGCAGGAAAATGTTTCTACAGCAAATTTCAACTTTCCACTGCTATTAAGAAGAAAAGAAAAAAAAAGAAAAGCATACATATATGTATGTTTTTACATATCATTGTAGAAGAAACCACTTTTCTTCTTTTTCATGTGTCCCCAGAATAGCTTACCCTTAAAGCAGCTGTTGCTGAATGATTCAAATCCAACTGCAGAAAGTATCAGGTGATTATGATTTTCTGAAAATGTGAGTTGAATTAAAAAGTTGTCATGCGACATTGACTCCAGTTGCTGATTATCATTTTAAAAATAAGTTTCTAAACAGCAAAATGCTGAAACGCGTATCAACACATGAATAATTCTGTTAGTTTCAGTAAGGAAAATAATTAGGGATCCCCAAGTCTGCAATTCAACAAGGCGAAGCGGCAGTGGTCCTCTGGTTACCCTCTGGAGGAGATGGGTGAAGGCAGAAAATGCCAGATGCATATTACTTTAGCCTAAAATGAGAGACACTGATCCACGCTGCTCAAAGAAATGAGATTGGTTATCCATAACCGCTAGGTGTGCTTGAGGCCACGAGCGTCTGAAAAAAAGCACCTCCTTGCTGAAGTTCCATCTTGAGAAAAGTCAAATGGAAGTCAAATTTCACTTCTGTCACCTTCCTGTGCTGCTGTGATGCTCTGTCCTGGATGCTCCTTCCCTACTGTGCCAAGCAGCCCACCCGCTGAGCATTTCACAGCAGGATGGGTCCGTGCTGCAATACGTATCGCCTGCAGCCGTGCTCCTCTGCTGCAATTATTCAGCCAGCGCTCTCCTGCGTGATGACACGCCTTTAAGTCAAACACTAATTATGTGAGCGGTGTGTTTTGTTCCAGACTTTGTAGTACCCAGCTTCAGAGTTTGTCAGGACCAAAGCAGCTGTGCGAATGTGTCGTCGTCCCTGATTAGGCACTTCTGATGTCGGAAGCGCGTTCAGACTCCTAAGCTGAAGAAAGTCAGGTAAAGTGAAGCGATGGAAGTTTGTTAATGTATTTAAATGAAATGCGGGATAAATTTCCCAGCTGGAAAGAAGAATCAAACAACTTCTTTTTGATAGCATTATGAAAAATACTTTATGTTCCTTTTTCCAGCAGCTACCTTTTAATTGTAAACAATTCAACACATCAAAAACGATTTAGGATTGTTCTTGAATCTAATAAAATGAGTGAAAATGTTGCGTTTTTACTGCTGGAGCTCCAACTTTAAACTGTTTTAATCATTTGATGATTAACCTTGACATAAAAAGTGACAGGAGCTTTTAATTGCTTAATAGCTCAGAGGAATGCTGGCTTTTGAATGGAGTTCATAAATGTGGCTTAAAATTAATATACGTGATATTCAGACCAGTCAATGCAATATCCTTGAAGGATAAGGAAAAATAGCTTAAATAGGAAGATTCTCTGTAGAAATGAAATTTTGCTTAGGATTGTTTGTGTTATCACACCTCCAGATGTGTTGCTTTTTACAGCTGATATATTCCAGAATGATGCTTAATTATTTTGGCATTCTGTTCTGTCAGAGGACACAGGGAAACCTTCTGCCATTAGAAAAAATGCATATATATGCACATGTGTGTACGTGTGTGTGTGCAGTCAGAACTCTAAGTCAAGAAGAAAGAACATTATGCATCTGTATGCAGCTAAATTATGCATCCTCTGTATTGTTTGTGGATGTTACTGCTGTCAGTCCCATGGAGCTGGCAGCACACTCATTGGGGAGGCACTTCATTTTATGTGTCTCTCTCTTTGCTTTATGACAGAACTGATTTTATACACGTACTGTTTGCAGCTTCTTCCCTTTGGCACTTTCCACTGGTAAAATGGACCACATTCCTTGTAGTCCAGCTGCTGCTTATACTGAATTCACAACATTCATCCCCATTTATCTCTTCTCCCTAAGTTCTACAGAATACAACTTTCTGGGATGGCTTTTATTATCCTCACGGTGATCATGTTGTTCTCTCCAGCCTTGTGCATTCATTTCATGTCACATCTTTCAAGGCTCCTTCTGGTGTTGAACCAGTCGATGGTTGTAATGTTTGAATAATAAACGTCATTTGTCAGTTCAAGTAAATAACTCCATCTCTGTTTTTTCATGCTACCGTTCTTTTGCTCAGCCTAATGATCTTGATCTTTATAACTTTGTCAACAAATGGAGTGGCCAAACAGCCTCTCACTGTAATACATTTCTCTGAAGAGAGCTGTGCTTTGTGCGTGTTTGCTTCCCACTTGGTTCAATTTGTTACAGTGCACTCTCAGTCCTTTATTCAGTGTCAGTTGCAGCAATATAACAAATAGTTCTGCTTCATCCCTTTTTTTTTCCTAATACATGATCTATTGAAAATAAGTCACAATGGTACCGTACATACAGCCCCTTAGTTTTCCTTTTGACATACTGGTAGTGGCCTATTTTCTTTTTCACTGAAAACACCTTTAACCTTCATTTGCTAAAAACTTCTGTTTTCTTTCTGTAATTTACTGGGTTTGAGTCAATCTATATTTTCAATCTCTTTTTAGGTGTATATGCATGTATATACACGTATTCACATTTATCTGTGTGTACACACAGGGAATTTTGCATCATTGTGTCAGCGAGATCCTGCACTTCATCATCTGTCCAAGAAGAGGACAGCAAAGCTGAGCAAGGTCAGAGAACTGAGCCATCCAAGGAAGGTCCTTGCAGGTCAGTGGAGACACAGATGAAGCTGGACCAACAAGCAAGGCAGTCACTCTGTATGTTCATGCTGAAGAAGACCCAGGAAGGTGCAAGTCATTGCATGGTGTAAGTCATTCGTGTTTCAGATCACCATTAGCCATGTCTGTATTGGCCTAGTAAAAAAGAATAAATTCTAGGATTTGCTAGACAAATTCTTTCTTTCAAATTCTGTCATTTCATTCTGTTTTATCCTTGCAAAATTGTCAGCTTAGAGCTTATAAATGAATATGTATAAGTGAATAGGATGCCAGGACAAAAAGCTGAGGCAGCCAATGGAGATTTTAGAGAAACAGGAATGTGAGGACAGTAGTGTTCATTTTCCACCCCTAGGAAAACACAAATATATTATTCTATGGGTTGTAAAGGTTGAATAATGCCACTTTCCCTCTCCGAAGTGTTCAGGAAACGAGCCTGTGGAAGTCAATGGATGTTTTGCCACTGCCTTCCTTGATTGGGCCCCAGATAAATCGTGATTCATGGAGCCACTTAAATGGTAAATGTGAAAAATGAAAATGACCTATCCATTAACTTAATCATCATTCCATCCCTTCTCTAAGGCAAATAAAGTGTTAGATGGAGGCAGATGTTGTTGTAATTGAGGTCTTTTTTCTTATTTGAAGAGACCAGTTTCTAAAGGTCATTGATGGAACTTGATGGAAATAAGCCTTTAAAGTGTGAATATTGATGGCTGAATAAAGTGAGTCTTCCAGGAGGAAGACTGCAAAAAACCATAGCTATTTTTTAAAAAATTATGGGTCAAATTCTTCTTCCACTCAGGGCACTGTAAATCTGAAGTCATCTGAAGAAATCATTGACTTCTGTGTAAATGAGGGCACAGCCTTCTTCAGCAGAATGAACTTAAGGTTTTTATTCTCATAGAGGAGAACAGAACAAAATTTACTGTGATTTTGTCACAGCCCTAACGGAAGGGGGGGGGGTGATTATGACTGTCAGACATCCTTAAGGAAGTTCCTTTATTCTCCCCTTGGATGTGCCTTGCTTCCCCAGCACAGCTGCAGTTCAGAAGCAGCTTTAGACACTATCTTTAATGTCCTTCTAGAAAAACAATTAGGCAGAACTGAGCTTCCATTTTAAATTTGAGGAGAGACTGTATCCTCAAAGGTATTGAAGAATACAGATCCCAAAATGGGTATATTGTCTGTCATTCCAGTACGTTTTTGTAAAAGAGAGATTCTACCACAGAAATAATAGTAATCTGTAGCTATTATGCATTTATTTTGTAGTATTTTGTTGCTTCTATTAGACATCTATAATATTTTGATATATTTTATATGCACGTCATTGATAAGTATTTATGTAAATAACATGTAGATTTTAAAAGATAATAACAGTATCTTAGCAAAATCTACAGATTTGTAGAACAGATCTTTATGGCTGCTAGAAACTTTGGATGGATGTCATTTTTAATGCTGTTCTGACACAGTCTTAACTGTCATAGCACAAACAGCCCCACTAAAATTCATCTTCTTTGGACAGCTGCTCTAGTGTGATACCTAGCAGATAAAAGAAATCAAGGAGAAGATGCAGGATAGCCTGGAATACAGGAATGAGACATAAAACATCACAAGTAACAGTTTCTCTTTCAGCCAAAAAATAAGAGGGGGAGGTCAAACAAGTTCATCCTTCTGAGAATAACACATAGCTCAACGAGGCAGCCCCTCTCCAGGCAAATGGAAGATAAACCTACCGATATCCGAGGAAAAAAAGAATGGATCGATGATGAGAATTATGCTGCATGATAGCAAGTGCCATGGAAATGGAGAGCAGAGCAATAGAGATGTTTTGAGTGGGAAAAACAGGGGGAAGCTGGCAGGAGAAGGGATTATCACCACGACAAGGGGTGACAGCTGGGAGGATGCAACTACAGATTGGCCTGCCTGAGAAATGCACAGTCAAAATTAGCTAGGCAGGGAGACGTGCACAAAAGAACAGGATTGCAGAGGAAATGAAGTGTGTCAGGGATTAGAGATAGTCCAGCAAGCAAAACAAATGCAGATGAAGTTTAAAAAAAAAAAAAAGACAAACACAACAGAACTTTACAGGTGTGCATAGCTTTCAGTGCGTTTGTATGGAAGAAAAAAAAAATGGAATTGTCTTTAACTGATTTATGGGAACTCCTCAAAGACAGAAATAAGTAATCGTTGTTTTCAGTAACACTTCTACAGGATACTGCAACCTGACTCTGGTTTGATTCTTAGAGGAACTGCTTGCCTTTCAAGTAGCTGCAATCAACTCCCAAGACTTTATATAATGCAGCAGTAAGTAGCAATGACTACTTCCTTATTAGCACTCCTGAGTCCCCCCATTACCATAGTATCTACACTTCACATAGCTACTAATTCCACTTGTATTATTGCTATATAAGGAACTATGCAGCACTTGCGTTGGGCTTTTTGCAAGTTAATAAGTGCAAAGTAAAATCCTCCATCATTTCTTGGGTAACTGCTTTGTAGAAGTTCAGTTTTTCTAATCATAAATGTCATTTCTAAGGTAAATACACTCTTGTGTTGGATGACAGGAATAAATAATGTCTACATTATAGAATTAAGTAAAAATTATTTTACTAAATGATGCTTTGGGAGATTTTTACATCTAATTACCTCCTGAAATGGTGGCTTTTCAGTAGTCTGCACTGGATAGGCTTATGTCTTTTTCCTCACACGGGTAAAAGAAAGATTCTGAGAAACATGTAATGCCTTCCAGTAGCTGTAAGCACTTCTGAACACAGGGCCATCAACAAATACACATGCACATTAATGCAATCTGCCATGCTAACTTTTTGGTATGAGATGTTTGGTCCTAGCAAGGTGGGCACAGCACAATTGCCATAAGGATCGGAGGTCTCCATCTTGCTTTAATGTTTGTCTTGAATAATCCCTGAAATCATTCTGTCTGGCTTTAAAAATCTATTTGGTCAAGTCTTCCCAAAGCTGCATAGAAGGTCATTAGATGAGGCTTTAAGTTGCTGTGTATTTTCTAGTTGGGCATCAGCCATTACTCTAAAATGAGGACACTTATTTGCTGTGCCTAAGGTTTTCATAGCTTCAGTTACCATCTTCAGAATGAATACCTGCTGCCAAAACTAACAGGCTCCTGCAAAAAGGTTCATCTTTAGTACATCCATCAAGCTTTCAAGCAGGATCTGTTCAAAGAGCACTTTCAAAATCTCCACATTTTTGCAGTTCATAGGAAATTTGATTCTTATTGTGCAAAGTGATCTTTTGCCCACTTGTGTGCACAAATTTCTTTCTTTTGTAGCTGGAAGGTATTTTTCAAGCTTGTCTGGAGTCCGATATATGGGAAAGTCAAAGCGTAACAGAAAATTAGATTCAAGGGTAGATTTAGTAGTGTCATAATTTTAATCTGGTCTTAGTTCAAAGCTTGTCATTACTTAAAAAAAAAAATAATAATAAGCATTATTTGATTTGATCTTTCTGCAACCAGAAAGAGTGCATTTTGGTCATGATTTTGGTATATAATGACAAAAGCTTGAACAGAATTCATGCAGCAGCACTCCAGTTAGTAGAGGAACAAGAAGTGGCAGCCAGCAAACATTTGTTAATTTATTAGGACATTACTAAAACTGTTTTTTAGTCACCTGCAAATATTGGCAATATGGTTTTGCTACAATTCTGAATATATCAGTTTGAATTCAGACCATGTAGTGAACACGTATGACTTGGTGTAGAAGTGCCTGGGTTATAACTCAAATGATATCTGCTGTTTGAACAGAATCTGTATCGTCTCCAAGGCCTGTGAAGCATGACTTGTCTTTATTATTATTATCAGCCTTTATTGCTGGACATTTTCCCCTGACACGTTTATATAAATGCAAATACAAAAATGTGAAGTGTTTAACCTTCTATTCAATGCCCGTGATTCACTTAGCGCATGCAGAAATCCTGAGAGTTGTCCATTATGTCCTCAACTCTTCCAAATTTCCCTTCCTGTCCTTCACACCTAAGCCATCTGTTTGTCATTTCTTGGCACCCTCCATGCCTCTTTCACAAACAAACCATCTGCTCAGTGCCTTTAAACTTCTATTTACCATACATACTCTTTTATCTATTTTACAATTCTTTGCATATGTCAAAATTTTAATTACATAGTCACATATTAGGATGGCGTCAGCTTAAGGGCTTTTTCTAACAAGTGTCTGTGATGGGCTAGAAGGCATTTGAAATGTGTTGTATCACTCGCTGATATATGGTATTTATGAAAAGTGCAACAAATTTTGAAGTGAAGAAGCAGATGATGCATGAAGTCAGTAATTGTTCCAAGACACCCCCCAAGTGATTGATGTCTACATAATTCTGTAAATCTACTGCTTTATTAAAATACAATAACAATATTAATTTATATGAAAATTCAGTTTGGCTAACAACTAATGCATTTAAATTTCACATAATCTATTGCAGTCTGAACTCCTGTTAGGTTGGAAAGAAGGAGAAGCTTCTTACTAGAAATTTACTATATACCTCAGGTCTTACAAAATGTAAGAAGATATGAGAGATATTTATAAACGCTACAAATATGATTAAGATATTTTGAAGAAAGAGAGTAAAACTGATTTTCCTAAATGCAAAACAGCTAAGAAAATTAAAAAGTAACAGTCACGGTACAAGCACTGTACATACATAATGCTTACAGACACACACAGTGTTTGTTCATTACATTCAGATGGGGTTTCATTCACCCAGAGGAAACGCTTTTCATCCAAACACCTGCAGAATGTTACCTACTCTTTCACGGTGAGTTTGCTTTGTTATACCATTGGTGCATAGTCTGTGTGATGGTCAGGATAAGATGAAGTTTTAGAAGAGAAAGAAGTGGCAGATCTCTTGCCACATGATCTGCAGTATAGAAGAAAGGAGCGTTAGAGGAGTGAGATTCCCTTTTGCTGGACTTCAAGGGCTTTGCCTGCATCTGTCCTGTCTTCTCCTAAGTCATGAGGGTTGTGAAAGGGAAGCACATACAGCAGTGCAAAGTACATTGGTAGGGAAGTGTTTGGAAAAACAACAATCTTAAGATAGATGAACAGGATCAGCACTAGTAGAGCATGGGCTCCCATTGACGCATGTGTGAGATGAGTCTGGTTGCACCAGGGCTGATCCCAGTTGAAGGGTGAATTAAGAGTCACCCTGGCTCGCTTGCAATGACTGCAGTTGGCTTTTTATATGACCAAGATATGTCACAGAGACCTTTGTTTTCCTATCTGCTTGCAGGGAGGACTGAGAGCTACACAGAAGTCCTGCAGAGTAGATCCTAATCAAAATAACATTGATTAAGTACAGAAACACTTCCCTGTATCTAAATTTAAAAAAAAAAATAAAAAAAATAAAAAAAATTGAAATGGCTTAATTTACTCTAAGCACAATTCTAGGAAACAGTTATTGAAATTCAGCTGCTTATGCTTATGGCAGCTACATCTCTAACTGAGCAAAGAACCACTCCAAACCACTTGACAGTAAATTGATCTGTGTATGTATTGCAGGTGGCTTCTCCAGAGCAGACATGCATACAAGCATGTCTGAAAACCAACAGAAGACCAGTGGGTTCATAAAGATGACTTTTCCACAGACATTACAGACGCAATACTAAAGTTAAGTCAGTACCCAAATAACCCCGATTCAGTCTTAAATCATCCCATCCTTAGGACTCCATTGATAGATATACACGTGACCCATAGACCATTTTGTATATCATTTCCTTCAGGACAGCTGAGAGATGGGATCCCATAGAGGATGTCAATGACCACTAAATCCCAACAGGGCAATTGCATCTCTTTCCTTTCGTTTTCTCCCTTGGCACTTCACTGTGCTCATTGTGTGGTACCAAGCACCCCAGTACTCCTGCGAGCAGGGGTGGCTGTTGTCACGTGAGATAAATCACATATTTGGTACTTCCTTACCCCTTAGTTCTGTGTGCTGAGTGATGTGTTCCTTTGTGAAATTTTATTAGCTTGACTAGAATGAGCAGCCTGTCCTAAGTCTAAAATTACACAGTGTTGGAATGATACCAAAAGAGCTATTCTAAGCATGTAAATGGGGGAGACAATCCCACCTTCTTTTTTTTAATTGATTAAGGTAAATAACTAAAGCCTGGAAGAGCTCTAAAGGAGCCACTATACTTTATACATGAATTATCCCCCTCAGCTTTTAATTATACCTGTCTATTTAATAATGTAGCTTTTGATATCATAGACATAACCTCGTAGAAATTTGAATATCTCCATCTAATATTATTGTGTGCATACTTGCAATGATGGCTTCTTTACAGAAATTAAAGAATCCCAGTTCCTCATTATACTTTTAAAAATTCTTAAAAAGATTGGCTGTCATGATCCCTCAATTTACCATCTGATGTTCTGCTTCCTAACCAGTGCTGCACAAATTGATGGTAACGGATTTCAGTCATCTTCAGGCAATGCAATTTCTCTCCTCCACCTATTCAAACAGTAGAGATTATACTCATAAAGCAGATCAATCAATACTACCTGACTTAATACCCTATTTTCCGTTGCTTTCAGATCCTCAAATTTAATCATGCAGCCTGAAGATTCAGCTGCTTTGTTTTGGAGAAATTTCAATTGGAAAAAAAAAAAAAAAGAAAGAAAAAAGAAGAAAAAGAAAGCTATTCATTTTGGAAATGGGATTAAGGAAAAAAAAAAAGATACCATATTCTTTACATAAAAGTTCTTATAAATTTTCAGCTGAAATACTTTAATGTTTCTTTGACTTAAATGAGTGGCTTGAAATGCCTTTTTATGTTCTGCAGAAGTTGATAAAGGATACTAGACAACAAAATGTATTTCTTTCAATATGGTATTGTCTAAGTTACAGATCTGAATAGAGAAAACTCATTAGATAATAACTCTTTCTGGGATGTCTACATTGGTTAAATCAATGCTTTCTGTACTGTTTCTGTACCAGTAAAACAAGACTTTAGAATCGATTGATCTATATTTTCTCACCAAATATGACATAAAAATATGAACTTCTGTGATATATCTATTCTTATTGCATATATACAATGGATTCATACATATTTGATGAAAACCTTTCACCAAAAGCTCTTGCAGTCCTATAAAAACGCCTGCGTGTTGTGATTTTTGAGACATGGGAAGATTGATATTTGGAAGGATGATGGACTTCAAAAATAACTTTGGATTTTCTGACCCGCTTCATTACTGTGCCATGTTGTAAAATCAGGGTGGCTTGGAGTGCATCAGGTTTTAGAGACATTTGAAGTCCAACTGTTGGATTAGCAAAACTTGTTGGAGGAACCATCCCTAGGTCCAAACAGGAACCCAAGCCTCCAAACCTGGTCAGAGAGGGTGTCAGCCTCCTCAGCCTAAAAACAAAGGAGAAATCTGTGTTCTAATAGTGCCTGTTTCTTGCTTTTTGACTGTTCCTGTCATAATTAAATTATTTTCCTGCTTTCCTGCACTCTGTGATCGGAGGGAAGCACTTGTATCATTTGTTATTAATGTTTTTTTCCATCCATTCTAGTTGCTACAATAGCTGCATCATCAAGAGGTTTGAAGTTTGAACAATTAGATCATGATTTTCTTTAAGCATGCACAAGACATCACAAAAATCCAGCTGTGTGAACAAAGTAAAGAATCATCTTTGAGAGCAAATGCTGTTTGCAATCTTACAATTTGCAGACTAAAAATTAAATGACTATTTTTATCCTCCCTTTTCTGCCAGACACTAACTAAATTTGTCACAGTAAGCATGCTAAGGATTAAAATTTTATTGATTTTTTTTTTTTTTTTAAGGCAAAATTAAATACGGTGCATAAAGTTTTCATAGCTGCATTAGACTGTGGAAGACATCCTGGCCCAGATTCCATCTCCTGCCATGTTCAGTTCTGCTGCTTAGAGCTCCCAACCTCACTCTGGGTGACAGGTATAGATCCACCGTGGCAACCTGGCTCATGGTCCCTTAAGAATTCTTAAGGGATGGAAAAGTGTGTGAGAGAGAGACTGGGAGAACCTCTGTGGGAAAGGAGTCACCCAGTGGTGGGCGTCACCCACAGGTTAGTGGAGATGGTCATCAGCCTGGGAGCAGGACATAGTCTTGACAGGGAATGGGTTAATGTTAGATGTGAAAGGTTTCTGTTGGTGTATTTTGTGTGTTTGAAAGGATAACTTAAGGTCTTTTTTTTTTTTTTTAATTTCCATTGGATTAGTCTTGCATTTCTGTGAGTTGTCTTCTATTCCCTTCTTAGCATGCACCATATACAAATTGGCGTTTTTAAGGTAAGAGGAAAAGCAGGAATATTTTAAAAACTACTATTTTCTGAGTCCCTTGGTAGACTACTTTCCAAGGAGGTTGAGGTTACCCACCAGCTTTCTGTGAGATTCTAATCTTGTTCTCTTGAAGAGAATCCTGTGGTCTTCAGTAGACTAGACAATATTGAATGTCAATTTTTAAGTAGTTTGTCAACTATCTCATTGCTGTTCACTATCTGAGATGTTCTTTGGGTTACTGTGAAAGGCCTTGGACATCTTTTGTATTACAAATTCAACAGATTTATGGTATTTTGGTGTACTTACAAGAACATAGAAAAGTAAGTGCGTTTGCACCACAGCATTTGCCTGTGACTAAAGGAAATTAAGCAAAATGGAGTCGAGTCTTGTCTCGTGTAGTCCAGTAAGTACAGCCGTTCAAAAGAAAAAAACTTCTATATGTCAGTGAAATTAATTTTGTGGGATCTGTAGCCACAACTGCTAAGAGTTCCAACTCTACAGCTGCAGTAAGGGGAAAAGTAATCAGTTTATGATGTCATTCCTTAAAGGTAAGAGTGAGATATTTTAATGCAGTCTAGAAAGATGCACCAACCTACAACAGCCAGTGAGGCATCAGCTCCACCTACAGCAAAGGCTGTTCCATAGCTCTCACAGAAACACATCAAACAGGTCCAAAACATTGGCACTTGCAGTAGTTCCTCTTGCTCAGGAAGATTACCTAACTACAAGTGGACAGAAAGAGGTGGTGGATTAAAGAGGCCTGCACGGACTTATTGAGTCCTGTGCAACTTCATACGGAGGGATTTTTAACAACAGAGGCATGTAACTATTAGAAAGTACTTTATTATGTAAAATATGAAAACCAAATTGATGTATCTCCTTCCTGATGCAAATGGGATTTTTCACATTTCTATTATGAACTGAAAACGATGTGCAGCCTGCCCAGCAGCATCCTCAGCCTCAAATACCTCAGTCTCTCAAGTGCTGAGTGCAATCTGTGGTACCAGCTATGCAGGGGAGGGTAAGAAATTCTCCATAAAAGATTCCCAATGTCAATTACAAATTCTGCATTTGCTTCTTAGTTTATCTGAAGCTGAAGAAGGCGGCTCTCTCTTGCAGTCAAAACATGTCATCTGCATATTCTCACACAGAAAGCAGTGGAGGTTCTAAAGCCTATCTTAGAGTGTGTTTGATTTCCTGGCTGCCTTATTTGTTTACAACAATGCTCTTAAAATTGTCTCTACCATCTGTGTGGTTTCTAGTTGTTTGAATGAGAATGAGATATTAAAATGCCATCCAGATGTCTCGTTGCATATCAGCATTAACATATTATGCAAATTGTCACAAGGATAGGTTTTTTTCTTCTTAAACAAAACAATATTTTTAGATGGAATGGGGAGAAATAAATCTGTGAAGGATGACAAGGGAAAAAATGCGCTGAGTATATTCAGCTGAACTTTTCAATCATTTTTTTATGAAAGGGTTAGGTACAAAGTGTCCTTAGGTTTGTTTTTTTTTTACCATAAATCTGTAGAAGAACAATTGGGTGAAAACACAATAATAAACCAACAAAGTATCTCTAAACCCAAATATCTCAGAAAATGAATTCAACAAAGTGAAATACAAAACTTGCCTCTGTGTATTTATCTCACAAGAGCAGGACTTTGTGAAGAATGATAACAAATATCTGCTGGCTACTAACCATCCAATTTAAAGAAACCTTTGTCTCTTATTCTGCAGATATTTACATTTGGAGATAAGTCCACAGAATCAACAGTGCAAGGCCAGACCTGTGCCCTCATTGTTCTCAGAAATAAGAAGAGGTGTCTGGAAATTAAAACAAGTGTCTGAGATTATACTGTTTTCTTGCATTTTGATTCTTACAGCTAAGAACAAACGTGTCGTTGCTTGTGTTTTCCTTAGAACCACAGAATGGCTTGAGTTGGAAGGGATCTTGATGATCATCCAGTCCCACTCCCACATCATGGACAGGATTGCCAGCTTATTCAGATATTCTTATGGACACAGAGCAGCATATGCTAGGTCTACAATTCCTCATCATTTTTTAAACATATTGCTGTTTTATTGTTCTTTTTGG